GGGTTTTTTTTTTGTGTTGCATTTAAAACCTTGTCAAAGTTTTTTGTTGAAGTCTTTTTAGCTGCTGGGTACTTGTGAAATTCTTTGGGATACTTGGATACTGTGAAATTTCTGTGGAGAAAAATAACAGGGGGGAAAAAAATTGATTTGCAGATTTATTCATTACTGTCTTGGATTTTGTTTTTAAAGCATTTTAGGAGTCATTTTTGTCAAATTGAGACAAGTTCTTCAGCACTGAGCTATAATGTCCAAGGACATTAATAGCTCAATATTTCATTAAGTTCTGCTCGTGTCTGAAGTGTTAAAGACACTGATCAGACACAACACTTACAGCTGTGCTTGCCAAGTCCCCAGGTGCTCCGTTGCTGCAGTAGGTTAATGCTGCACTTCACTTCTCTATTTTAATAGATATTTGGGTAGCTGGAATATTGTTAGGAATGTCTTCTTTGAATGGAATGTAAAAAAATGGATGTCATTTAAATATTTAAAAGGAAAGTTTCAATGTTGATATTGATGGATAGGAAGATGATTTGAATTTAATAGCCTCTAGTATCAGAAGAAGCCTTAATGTGCTCGTGTGATAGTGATGTAAAAGATTTTAAGTACTTTCCTGTGTAATGAAATTTTGTCAGATCCTTGGACTTCTAGCTCCAAACAGAATCATATTAAGATACCTGCTTAACCTGAAACAGCTATGTAAGATTAGAAGCAAATTTCCACTAAATTTAAAGTCTCTTCTTTCCTGACCCAGACCAGGCGGGATATTTGAAAGGAGTGCTTTGCTTTGTGTTGGCTTTCAGCTTTCGTTCGGTCCTGTGAGACGGTTTTGAATTGGTCACATCTTGAATTGAGGTGGGGTTGTTAACAGGAATCCTTTGCATCCCAGAAGCCCTGGCATTTGTGTTTCTTGTTTGTTACTGTTGGGGACAGCGTCTGTATTTATATGTTTGGTTTGTTTTTGGTTTGTTTTTGGTTTGTTTTTGTTTTCCTCTTCTGGTAGGTGCTACAAATAGTTTCAAATTACTGTGTACTGTTTTTGCCAAACATTGTTTCTTACAAAACGTTTTAGACAGAGGTGTTTTTTAATATTAGATGTTAGAAGCCTAAGTATTCTTAACATCATAAGGTATATATCCTAGCAGATCAGAAACAGTATATTTATTTATTGGCTTACTATTTTTAAATTAATGTTGCATTTCCTGCTGGTTTGAATTTCTTCATCACACCCCCTGAGAATGCAGAATACCTGAGACTGTATCAGCACTCCCTGTGTGACATAGAACTTGATTGATTTTTAATATTTCATTACAACAATAAACTAAAATCATAGAATCAAGCTAAAAATCATCTAAAAAAAGTTGTTTTGTAGCAATCAACTGCATCCATTTTCTGTGCAAAAGCTGAATGTGGCATCAAGAAGCCACAAAAATGCTAATGTTAGAAATTGCCCACAACACTCAAAGAGCTAGAAATGTTTAAATTCTTTACTGTTATGAATAAAGTTAAAGAAACGTTATGCTTTAGATTGTACCTCCAAATTACTGCAGATATGCACCTCCAGATGTTGTTTCTCTCTTTGAAAGCCCAAGGCTCGCTTTGGGGAGTGGTGAAGGAAGGGCAAACCTCTGTACTGTCAGGGAACCTCTATCACAGGCCTGTGGAGATGGGCAGAAACCTCAAAGCACACCCAGTGATCTCCGCCTTTGGAGGGAGAAGCGTGCAAGGAAGACTTTGGAAGCAACTATTGCTAATCCTTGCATACTCACTGGTTTGTAAACTTCCTACATAGCAGAGAACCCTAAGGCAGAACTGTGTCTTTATATACTGTTTGCAGGCTTTTCTGGGTACTTGGGAAGCTGGGGTTGCCCTGATAAAATTATATACTTTACAGACTGAAAATGGAAGATCTCAGTTGTCAGGTCACTGGTCAGCTGAATTTTGCCACATGAATTATTTGCTAAAAGAAAACTCTTTCTTGGGAGCTATTAACTTGATAAATCACACTGCTGTAACATAACTGAAGATATCTTACTGGAACCGAGTTACTGCTTGTCATACTGTGTCGTGCTCTAATGGCAGTGAAGTACCTGGAAAGCAATTTTATTGTTTACTCTTATGCCTGTGCATATAGTTAATTTATCCTAATGACTGGATGGGACATAATTGGAAGTGAGTTTTCAAAGATGTAATAGGCATATTAATTATGAGTGTGAAATGGCCATCAAGAATACTCTTGTCTGCTTGATTCTCTTAATGCTGGTAAACGTCATTATCTTATCTAACGAGTCGTGGTGACTGCAAGTAGTGCTGTTCTGCTCTGGGAGCCTGTCCTGGGTGTCTGGTTTTCAAAACTATTTCCCCTGAGGATTTTCTACAGGCAAATGCTTATGGGCCCTCTGGCACGTGCACGATCTAAATTCTTTTTTTTTTTAAGCTTATATCCTTGAGAAAGGAGGTCACGTGGGGAGCAGTGAATCAGTGTGTCAGGAAAACTGGATTCTCCTCACAGCATTGTGCTCGTCTAGTCCGCGTGTCACCTTGGAGAAGCGGCTTTGCATCTGTAAAGCAGGGCATGAAAAAGGGTAGCAGCTGCAACCAGAGGTCCTGGAGCACTGAAATGTCAACAGAATCTTGCTGCAGGAAACCCTGCAGAGTGCTGCAGCAAGCAAACATTCCGGTGCTCTTCTGCTAAAGCAACAAATGTGTGGGAGATAAAAAAAATAAATTCGACCATTGGAAAATACGAAATATTTTTACACAGTAAAACTGTTAATCACTCTTTGAGAGAATGAAAATATTCCATAGCAAAGACGCTGTATCAAATCCATAAATTATGGTTATAAAGAGCACATTAGAATTGTCAGTGTATTATTGGCTTAGTGTTGTTTTTGCCATTGTTGGAAGATACTTAAATATTTCATTATGTATCTTTAGAAGCCAGAAAGTAACCAGTTGGTTCATTGTGGCTGTATTGCCTTCCACAGTTGATTCATCTCATTCAACCACTGCTCAGTTCACAAGTGAAAAATAACCACAGAAAAAATTAAGCCTGATTGAAGCAAGGCTTTTTATTAATGAAAGCACATCCAGTCAAACACGGAATATCCTGCTTTATGGTACAGCTTTATATTTAGCATTTCAGGCCAGAATAGCAAAACGTGGTATTTAAGGAACGTATCAAACTGAGGGGAAAACTTAAAAGGAACCAATGTGGATACTGCATTGATTTCAAGTATATACTAGGACTGATTGACCAGTGAAGTGCACATTCATGTGAAAGCTTTTTTGTACATTTACAGAAAGTATTCTAAAATTGCATTTCAAATATATATTTTTTTCTTAAATTTTAAGCATCCTTTTTAAATTTCAGTTACATAAACAAAGCTGATATACAGTCCCTCTTATAGTGTCCAACAACATTACTAGCTAGAACATCTCTGAAAGTGCAAAACACTGTAATAATACAGTATAAATACTCTTGCTCTAATCGAGGGCTGAAGGTCAGTATTTCAGCACAGGAAAAATAGCAGCAGATCATAAGAACTATCCCTTCCCCTTTTCTGGGCTGTTCTTGTTAACAGTTAGCATTCTACTTCTTCATGGCATACCTTGCTCTTCTTTCTCCTTTTTGTCAACACTATGGGTAATAATTTGTTCATTAGACAAAATAGTTTTTAATCTGAGCTTCATTTCTTTCTTAATTTGTCGATCAGCTAAGAAAGCAAGTCCTGAACTGTATTTTTTCCTGAAAATAAATACCTTGAATCTTAACACAAGAGAAGCTCCTTAGATGCTTGCTTGGATAGCCTAATTAGGTTTAAACTCAAGACTAAAAGGGGAAATTAGAAATAGTAAGCATCAGTGGTTTTACAGATCACCTGTAATTTTGGTACTGACCTGGGTCCAAAGGTTTGACAAATTTGACCAGTTTCTTACTGTGTTTTCCTTTAGATTTCAATGGGTTCTAGCCCAGACAGTTATCCATGGCTTGCAAAATACTAGAAAAAGCTTAATCATAAGTTGGGCCTTTGCTTTACTTGTCTGTAAGTGCAGACTAGCGTTTTCAAAGGAACTAAGGGAGTTAAATGACCAGTTCAGCTGTGATGAACTCTTAGGCTTCCTTGGAAATTTTAGCCTTAACTTCACATTGGACATCTGAGTTTCCTTCCTTCTCCCTAGCTCATGTATGATTTTTATTTTCCACAAGCTGTTTTGAAAAAAACATATTGAGCCTTTTTTTTTTTTCAGAGATAACCTAGGTTAGACATCCTTCTCTTAAACAAAACTAAACTCCCTGATTTTTAAAATGGAAAACACAAAGTATTCTGACAGACAGAATTTAAAGGATAGTTCCTAGAAGTATTAGAACTTAAGCACGTGTGCATCTTCACACATGCACGCACACATACTCACGTACACCTCCCAGCAGTTACCCCACCTTACCTCTTTCTATCATGTAACAAAAATATGTTTTCTGAACCATCAATGTTACAGGCAGGCATACTCCATGTGCCATATTCTCCACTTTATTTAAAAAGTACATTGTAGCTGGTTTCAAAACATCCATGTTTTTATTTTCTTTACTTCCAGTCCAGCATAACTGAAGGTACACTAAATGATATCAGTACCTTGTAAGGCACTATTTTCTGATGTAGGAGAGGAATAAGCTTGCTTATGTCTAAGCTTAAGATGTCTAAGGCCTTAACTCTACAAACACTTACTAACACGTGAGTGGCATTGCTGATTTGAAGGAGAATTCACTTCAAGGCTAGACAGACGTGTTGAGTGTTCTGTAGGATACTGGTCCAATGGACTATTCAACCTGAACACTGGCTTTAGTTGGGATATGTGGTTTAATTTTAGTTTTGGTGGAAGTAACAAAAAATAAAAATTTGGATGCTGGCAGAATAAGATCTCGCAGGGATACCATCTCCCATAATACATTTCATCTCTGAGAACAGGGCCCTGCCCTTTTATGTTGAAAATAAAAAAAAAAAACCAAACCAAAAACTTTCACTTAAGTGCCTTAAAGTTGACATGTGAAATATTTACCACATTCTATTTCATAAAAGTTGCTGTATATACAAAACAGACCTCAGCCAGTGAGGTCTTTCTTAACTCAGTCCAAGACTTTCAGGTTGTAAAAACATGTTCATTTGCTGTGCTTCAGACTCTGCAGATCACATTCAAAAATCTCAGGCTCTATTCAGCAGAGTTGTCCTAGAAGCAAGAATAAAAAAATATCTTTTCTATCACAACAAAAAGATCTATGGTTTTGATAAAGGTTGGCAATAGATCCATCTTGTAGCATTAGCTGGAAGCCTCTCTTCAAGGGATAGCTTTTCAACTGCTATAAACTGGAACACATCTATGACTTTCAGTAAAGATGTTGACTTTAAATACAAGGTACATTGCATGGGTGTCGTAAGTGAGAAGCTTATATGGACTTCCTAGGAAACATTGGGATTTCTGGGAGAAGGTGTCTCACGTAGGACAATACAGTTGTACTGTAGCTCAGCTGCAGCTCAGGACATAGAAGCTTCTTCACTCTTTAGGTGGTACAGACATTTCAAATCTAAATGTTTAATGTAACTTATAAAGGTCTGAATCGGTCTTTCTGGTTTGGCATCAGTATTAAAAGAAATATCTAAATTAACTGATCTCATCATGTACATGGAAGAGGTGCTCCAGCTTCTCACAGGGAGGAGTATGAGACTTTCTCCCTTAAGAGTATGCTGAAAATTAGTCCCATAAATTTCATCCTTTTGTAAAATTGTGTGTAGAAATGATGGCACCTTCTTAATATCTCTATGTATTTGTTCCCCTGAGAAAAGCATGTCTGAAAACTGCTACAAACAGATTCTTTTATGTTATTTGGTAAACTAAATAAAGCATCTTCTCTTTCATAGGCCCAGCAGTCATCTTGCAGGCTGAACTGATCTGTCTGGAGAGGCAGTATCAAAATCCAAGCCCTACTGATTTATTTTTTTTTTTAAGATTTGAATTTTGTAAGGGGAAAAAAAATTATAATTGGGCCAAAATGGTCTTAAGATGGGTATGCAAATAGGAGGGAGGAAGCTGATGATTATGTGCCTGTGTACATCTGCAAAAATACTAACGTTCTGAGGGAGCTTTATACCTGAGTGTTTTCCAGCTGTCTTTTTCCATGTGGTTCTCTGGACCTTCACTTTCAAAGGATGCAATGAATAGAGCTAGTAAATAAAATAAGAACAGTCAGATACATGGGTTCTTTAACTGAAAATAAAATTCAAAAATTACAATATAATGTGTAACTTAGCAGACTTCATAATGAAGCTTATTCGCATCAGAAGCTGATATGGAAGTGATAATACTTATCAATTTTTTTTTTTATGTCACTTTTGCTTCATAGACATTCTGTCTGCATTTCAAAAAGTAGGAAGGCTCACTATAATGTTCAATAAAGGATTTTACCTTCTTCACTATAAATGGGTGCTGTGAGTAGATAGCTCTGGATCTTCTTGTCTTTTTCAAAAGGGCACTCGACCTGCTTCCATGTCAGGAAATCATGAATCTGTCTTGAAATTTCCCAGAATTTCTGCATGAGACAATTAAAAAAATATTATTAAAATCATATTTGTTTTCTTTCAAGTATTAGTTCTTTTGTTTCAGAGCCTCTCAGTCTTGCTCTTATTAATGCTTCTCTTATTATCCCATATTCAGTCTACTTCCTTGTTATCCTTTCTTCTCATTGCTATCTTCACCTCCCCACCTTGCTCCTAGTTCCTCATCTGTTGTTAGCCTCTCAAGTTTAGAACAGCATATCCCTGCTAACTGCCTGGGCTTCTCCGTTCAGTTCTTTTAATCATAAACCTTTTCATATACAATGAAGTGCTACTGACTTCTTTTCTCTGGTGTATCTCTAAGAGTTCCACTCTTGCTGGAGAGGAAGTGGGTCAGTAAATGTTTTTTAGTTACTTTACGTGTAAGTTGAAGCTAGGAAATGTATACTGTGACATAACTGATATTTTCATAAAGTGCATTTAAATTCAAGAAATAATCAAAATAACCAATAGCAACTATAGATACATTTTTCTTCCTAGGATTTTAAGAAATACAGAATTACTTAAGATTTGTCCTGTATAATCTGCATGCCTCCCTCCCCTCACCCAGGCTTAATAATGGCAAAAAAACTTTTGATTTTTGACAAGCTGTGGTCTTTTGGACATGTATGTTTATTAGTCAGGGAGAGAGAATCCAGAACCTGTAGAAAGTTTCTTGAAAACCTGATAAATACCATTTGCTAGTTACGTGTAGTGTTTATAGGTAGCTAACCTGATGATGTTACATCAGCTAATGCTTACAATTCAGGGGGAAGTTTCCTGTTACAATTTGATGTGATGTCTTGCTGCCACAAAAACTTACTTTCCACTCTTTACTGCCCTGCTTCCCCTCAGTCTATTTTGAACATAAGGCAGGGTACAGAGCTGAGGAGTGGCAAATTTGTCTGCCATTGTAAGTGGTACACTAAAATTCTTAGGTTTCTTAATTTCAAGAAGCTTCTCTTTCCAATTATCTATCATGACACTATTTATGTATTGCTTCAATAATTTCTATTTCTGGGGGTTTGGCTTCTGAAATTCTTGTTTTCTCCTCAGTCTTCTGACGCACTGCTTTTGGTAACAAATTAATATTATTCCAATCTGTTTATGTGAATTTTATGTTTTCCAGTGCATCTCTCTCATTTATGTAAAAGTAACAAAAAATAATCTCTATCTCAGTAAATTTAAAACTAATCTTTTAACTGAAAGGAATTGCATTTCAAGAGTTTTATGGATTCTCTTCTGTACATGCAATTATGGATCCATTAGATGTGTAAGATAAACATGGCAACTGGAAGCACTAGCTTTCACAGAGGCTTGGTGAAGTAATTTCCAGTAGATAATGATATTGCCTTGTCCAGATCACAGCAAAGCTGAAGGAATTGGTAATGCAATGAGGTAGGAGTTTAAAAGTGGCAAATGTTTTTTACGTACAATATTTAACTAGTGTTACAGTTTCTTTAATAGCAAAGTCCTACCTTGAAGTTTATCTGCCCATTGGGCAAGCGGTTTGCGTGTATTTTGTGCAGAAAGTAGATGTCTTTAATAAACAAGTTGAAGACTGGGATGACTATTTTCTCTCGATTGCTGTTGGCAGTCTGAGATCTCTGTGCTGCTCCTTGCAGGGCTGTGCGGTAATTACAAAAGTTGCTGGATGGATCCATGTGATGCTGTTTTTATGGGGGTAAAAAGACAGTCAATACATGGTTTCTAAAAATTAAAAATTTTGATCTAAGCATCAGAGAGTTCAATTCTTTATGAATATGGTGGGCTCCTTTTTAAACTTTAAAGATCAAGTACCTTATACTGATCAGGTGTGCAATTCAGGTTGCTCTAACGTCTATCTTGTTTGAGAGGAAGGTTCTGTACTGGCTTTACATCTATGCTTTGCTTCAGTCCTTAATGGAAGACTGGAAGGAAATGATAAATGACTACTGGAGCACAAAATTCTAACTCACCAGTCTTTCTGATGCAGATTTCACTTAAGTTTTGTTTTCATTCAGATTTCCATGAGATGGAGTACTCTGAAGTAGTTTTAAGGCTAGCAAAATGGCTTTCACTTGAATGAAAATTACCTTGATGTTAAATTGGAAAAAAATATGGTAGGAAGAAGTAACCTAAAGAAAACTTGCATTCACTTTTTTTTTACTGGCAAGTAGGGAGTTAGAAATTTAGGAATACTCTCAATAACATTTATATACTGGTGACCACTGACAGAGGTGCCTTGGCTATCTCTCTGATTTACTAATTCCACAACAGGGTTTTTGATGAAACTATTTGGTATATTTCTGTATAAAGCCTATACTTCATACATACCTCTAGAACATCAAATTTGGCTGTTTTGACCTTGGACCAAGTTTTCTTTAGCCGTGCTACAGGACTCAAGTTCATGCCAGCTGAATGGAGAGAACAGACAAAGAAAGAAACAGCTGAGTTGAAAAAAATATAGGGCTCTGTATCAGCACCACACATTGAAGGCAGTTCAGCTCAACAAATGAAACTTGTAGCTAACTCAGCCACTGACAGGTTAATCTGTCACTGGTAGGTAAAGCCCCTGTAAAAGTGTGCATTCTGCTGTGGTCAGCCCAGTTAGGACAAGTTTGAGCACAGTCTTTCAGTCAGGTTGTAAAATGGAGTGCCTTTTGCCATCTATGTTAAGGATACTCACAGATAATAGCCATCATTGAGTTGAAGTTTCCAATATTGAAGCATTCTCTTGCTACATCAATGAAAAATTCCACCATTCTTGTACGCTGCTTTTTTTTTACAACCTGAAAAAAAAAAAAAACCAAACCCCAAGATCTGTTAAGATGGCCTGAATTTTGGATGGGATGTTCAGTCAAATGCATTGTAACAGGTTGATTGACTAGACATTTCAAGACTTTATCCAGCTAAATCTTATGATAATATAGGCCTGAGGGTATTTTGTTGAGATTATTTTTAATAAAATAGCAGAAGTATTTGGGGCTGCTATCAATTATTTGTTTAGTTGTGACGAAGTAAATTTTGTTTATATATCGAGTTCAGTGTCTTGGGGTGTCTTGTTGTCAGATGCTGGAAGCACAAAAACAAGCACAAATCACAAAGCTAG